GAGGGATGATCATTTGATAAAATGCGGAAATATAATTCTTCTGTTCGATTCTACACTCTTATTCTTTTAAACCAAATGGGCCCTATCCCCTAACATATTTAATTTGTGAACAAATAATCTTTGGGCCTGGGCCCACTTAATTGGTCTGGTCTCTTATAGCTCGACACTAGTATTTTATTTAGAGGATAGGAGCAGTATACATCCTGTTATCCACCATTAAAAGGGGGCCATGTTGGCATATCTGTCGGCCAAAAATTAGTTTTTTTTTTTTTTGCCAAAAATTAGGTTGTTGTGGACTTATGCCTAGATGGTGCAAAAAGGTTGATGACAGGATGACACCTTTTATAAATTATAAAAAAAAATTAATAAAGGATAATGCATACATAAATCGGGTGGGTGAAGGCCATCATGATCATGCTTCAAGTCCTCCAAATTGTGACAGGTGGCAAGCTACGAGCCACCAGATTATAGACACGTGTCCTTCTCTCTACCAGAACCTAGCCACTGATTCTCATGAGTCATGAATAAAGCGAGAGAACCACGTTGCCACACTTTTCTTTTTATTTTGTTAATCAAATTATAATTAGATTTTGGGTTGAAAATGGTAACTGCACGTGGTGACTGCAGTGGAATGACTTGAGCGGGAGCACACCCTACGACCCTAATCATTACTTGAGTAAGTACATGTTTGGAGACACAGAAAAGAGAGCGAATTTGCTCCTCACACCTGGCGCCTCACAGACGTTTCACACGCATATCCTACCATAGATTGATTATTCACAGATGTTTTTAATGCACGGTGAATGCGCCTGTGAGGCGCCCATTTGTAAGGGATCCCGGCTCCACAAGAACACGCGACACTCATTTTGGTGGGCCAAATCCGATATTAGGTGGGCCCAGATTTTCGATCCACCAGTATAGTTGGACGGTAGAGATCAACGAGTTGCTAACTTGGTCAATGACGAGGACAAATGAAGGAGACAAGCAAAGTGCTTAATCCGGACTCCACGAGGAGCGGGGCCTCCAGTGAGATCAGACCGAAAATCACTTAATTTTTGGGTAAATTACAAAATGCCCACATAATTTTGAATTTAAAAATGGGAAAATTCCCGATTAGTACCCTGTACTTTGGGTTTAGTGTCGCTTTGGTTCTCGAACTTTCAAAATGTGTCAATCCAGTACTTGTCATTAACCAATCTGTTAACTAGCCATTAAGTAAAATTTGAAAAGACACAAATGCCCTTTGAGTGTCATCTAATTTTCTTTATCAACCATCCACATGTTGATAAAAAATGAATAGTCTCAAATCATTCTCTTTTATTCAAGAAAGTTGGGGTTACGTCTTCGTGGATGACTTGAACTTTCTTGAACAAAAGAAGAAAGAATTTGGGACTGTTCATTTTTTATCAAAGTTTAGATGGTTGATAAAGAGAATTAAATAATACTTAAAGGGTTTTTGTGTCTTTTCAAATAGCAGTTAATGACTGGTTAACAGACTGATTAATGGCAGATAATAGATTAATACATCTTAAAAATTCAGATATTAAATTATCGCATTTTAAAACTTGAGGATCAAAGTAGCATTAGAACTAACGTACAGAGTAAAATTCTGAAAATTTTTCCTTTAAAAATTAACAAATTGGACGATGGTCGTTGCCGACAAAAATGCTGCGACCAAGGTCAAAGAAGATTTGAGCTTAACAAAGTGGAGGGGAAAGGGAGATGTTATATGAGCATGTGACATCACATGTTGCCATATCACCCTCTCCCCAGCCCCCACGTAGAAATTTCCTTGTAGTTTCTTAATTTTACTTTGAATAAAAGTAGACACTTTCAATGGGTGAAGAGTCAATATACGTGGAATATAGAGTTGACTTGGACTTAAAACTAATGAACACGTGTAAATTCAAAGATCGCTATCTGATGACCAGTCTATAATTGCCACACGAGCTTTCCACGTAATTGGCAGAAAAGTGAATGCTTGGTGTAGAGATACAAGCAGGTTGAGACAGATAATATTGAGTTTCGATAGTCTGATACACTGGATAGGGCGTATCTGACCATGGCTTTTAAAACAGGAGACCGAACTGGTCAGGGGTCCAGTTATTGTGTTGAACCAAACGGTCAGCCCGTTTTGATAAAAAAATGAAAAAATATAAAAATAAATAGAAATAAAAAA